CTACTCAGGAGATGAGGAAAAAAAGGAGGAGGATGCAGCAGACGCACAAGGCAATGAAAGCAAACAAGTGAACAGTTAACCTAAGAGAGGGTCAAAAAGTAGCTTGGGTGCAGCTATGGAAATTCTCCACCATTAATAAAAGCCGATGGTTTGTCATTATATCTTGTTGCGACTTCATTCCAATAAATGTATTTAAAAAAAAATTTCTATATTTAGTTTGTTCTTAAACAATCAAATTCAGAGGCATTGCCCACACAACCAAGCCATTCACACTCTCTCATTTCTCAAAACTTGGGTACTCCAGCTGGTTTTAACCAGAGTGTCCACTCCCCCATATGTTGTCTCAGGGTATTCAAAGGAAAACAGGTCAAGTTCCATGGCACAGTTTAAGAACCGGTAAGGATGAGAGGAGGATGAGAAGAGTGACCAACAACAGACAAGAAAGTTTTCTGGTAGGAGGAAAAAGTGGTGTACAGCCCACCTGAACCCACAGGTCCTGAGGCAGCTTATGACGCTGACTTTCGTACCCAGTAGTGTAAGACTGTTTACACCACATTTACAGCCATGAACAGAGACGCCATTGTCTAACAGCTGATGCCTAGTCCCCTAGTAGACAAACCAGGACCTTGCTATGGGGTGTATCGCGACTGTGGTATCGGTCATGACTGTGACTGCATCGCGAGCCTGGCAGGAGGGCGGGTACGAGATGCACACGCAGCACAGCCCCACTACCGCTGCCCAGCGAAGCGCCAGGGACAGTGCAACTGCAGGGGCAACCTGCACATCTCTCCCATGAAGAGCCTTGGAGACGTGAGACTATAAATGATTAAGGCGAATGGATGTGCCTGTCCTGAACCTATCAGGCTCTTTGCAAAAGCAAGATGTTTTTGAATACCAGAAGGCTCATTTGCTTTACCTTCACATTACAACCTCTCTTTTACCTTTTAAAATACTCTAAATTTTCTCATGTAGTCCAATCCAACGTACTATTTGCTACCACAGGACTATTAACTACTATTGAATACACCATTCTGCTATCGAAAAACATATGACAGGCTACCTTAAGCTGGTACCTGCCATTTGAACATTAAGATATGGTTAACAGATTTGTAGGTCAAAATGTAATAGCCTGTTTTGTTGGACTTCTGTGTACTAGCTTCACGGTGTGACAGGTATTGTGCAATAACCCCATAGAAAAGAACTGTCCTGTCACAAGTTAGGTCTATACACGGCTAGATAAAAGCTGTCATTCCCCTATTTCCATACATCAAATGCTTAGGCTAATGAGCTTTTATTAGGAACAATCCCGTTTCCACTGGACTGAAAAAGAAAGCTTCAAACAATTTTAACTGAAGAGCTATCGTCAGGACAATCCAGAATAGAATTTTGGATGGCCAAAGTCTTTTACGTAAAATGAACTATAAACAACTCATTATATGACGATATCATTCTGTTTATTGGATATTGAATTTGTCTACAAGCAAACATCATTATCCTAATTTGAAATGTAGGGAA